ATTTTAGGCCTTTAAAAAAATTATTTTAATTTAAAAAAATCAGGAAAAATAATTTAAGGGGTCCCAAGTGATCAGGGAATAATTGCACACATTTTGAACTATTTTGTGTTTTTTTGAAAATTTTGAAAAAGGGCCACTTAGGCTTGAAAATTAGGGTCAGAAGCACAGAGGTGCTCTCTGACTTTGAAAAAATCAGAGAAGTTGTCCTCTGTCATGAGGAACCAACCCTAAAATTTTCAAGCTATGGTGATTAGTATTTAATCATAGTAAATAAAAATACCTTAGAGAGTATTTAATTAATTAGAAATCATATAATTGAAAAATAATTTTTATTTTTATTCCACATTACTCTCCTCTGTTCACTGAGCAAAAGGATATTTTTTTTTAATTTTTATGATTTTTCTAGAGAAAGATATGGATTTTTGAAGATGAGACACTCAAATAAATCTAAAAAATCCATATTTTTCTACTTAAACATGCAAAGCCACCTCATCCTATGACAGCTCCCAGCTCACACGCGGTGCTCCTTCATTTAGCGTCGCCATCCACGTAGTTGCCTCGTTTACCCGCCTTTTCACTCTAATGTATCATCCGGCTTGATCTCCTCCATCCATCCAATACATGCGCAATTGGATGGCCTCCATTCATCATCCCCAAGAGGCCTAACCCGAGAACCACTCACACTAAAACCTTAAGATCTTCTCTAGACTCAACCAAATTGCATGGGTTTGTTTCTAAACATTTATCTACTCAAGAAGAGCATATTTATATGGTTAATCAAGAATGAAATTAAGCCATTACTCATGGAGAATCAAAACAATCTCGGTTTAGGGTTGAGGTTCAATACTTTTTTCTGACAGCGGAAGCCTCAATCAGATGGTTGTGGTAACTTCGATTGGGTCCAACGAACCTCCAGATGAAGTCATGCCCTCGTGAATTTTCTAGGTATGTTTTTGACCAAGCTCGATTTCAGGTGTTGACTAAATTCTATGCTAGGAGCTCTCTATGATGAGGCTTCTATGAGGAATCAACTCCTCTCACTGCGGGGATGGTGTGTGCACAGTTAATTGAAGTTTGGTGGACCGTGGAGGACAAATTTTGAACTCAAAATTGAGCTCTCACAGTGGGAACCAGAGGGGGAAATAGTTAGAATGAGCTTAGGAGTTATTGGAGAGTGTCTGAGAGCAATTGAGCAGAGTCTCCCTAAGGAAATTTTATCTCTCTCTCTCTTTTGGCCATGGGAGGGGGGTTTAAAAAAATTGCTTGGGGTGGCTGTCAGGGCCAATTAGTGGGTGCTAAATTATGCTTATGTGGAGGGTTTCAAAGTGCTAGAGCCAATTCGAAATGGTCAGCTAAGATGGGTGAGTTTGGGTTTGAATTGAGGCATGGGGGCTCTTAGTTTTAGCTCCTCCGGTGACTAACCATGGCAGGGGAGGTGCTCAGGTGTCTCAGGAACCTCAGGGCAATATGTCACAACAATTAATTTGGGCTGGTGATTGGTTTTGGCAAAAATATCTTTGGCTTAAGTAATTTAGGAAACAAATCCCTTGATTTAGGGGACCTTTGGTCCATGGCTCAGCTAGGGTGGGCTAAGTGGGTCTAGCCTGGTCACTAGGGACCATGTAGTGGTTGTGGTGTCATTAAATTGGTCACCTTGGCATGACTAAGTCAATTTTGGTGCATGGGTTCTATATGAGTCAAATTGGCTTGAAGTTAGGTTTGAGTTAGGCTATCCATGCCATTGAGCCCAATTGATTGATCAATTTGGTTTGGATGATTGTCACAAGGATTTTAAAAAAAGTTTTGAAGTGGTTTTGAATTGATTTGGAGGTATAATTTGATGGATTTTTGCATTTGGTCAATTTTGAGGGTGTTGGGTTAGACTTGGGCTTAGGTTGGGCTAGAGTTAGGTTAAGTCCAAATTGATGGTTGAACATGGTCTAGGGGAATGTCATGAAGAGTTTTCAACATCAATCGGGTGCCAATTTTGGGGTTCGGGCATTCAATTTGGCGGAGTTTGGGCACATGGTTAATTTGGGGCAAAATTGTGGTCTTGGATTTAGGTTGAAATTGGGTGAAATTGAGACTTGATCAAGGTCAATTGAGGGTTCCATTTGATGTTTGGAAATTTTAGGAAGAGTTTGGGATCCAAATTGAGGCAATTGGATAGATTTGGGGGTTCAATTTGAGTAGGATTTTGGTTTTAGGACAAATTGAGGCTTTTTTATTTCGGTTGAAGTTGTGCTCAAATATGAGTCAATTGGATTTGGATTTGGTTTGAATTTAGTTTTACCATGATGAATCTGAATTTATAATTGAAATTTTGGGTAGTTGGGCTCAAATTGATGGACATTTGGGGTGAATTTGGGGAAATTGGGACTTTAAGGGCAATTTTGGGGGTTTTGGTCAAAATGATTAAATTGGCCAAATTGGGTTCAATTGAAGGGTTAAACTCAATGGAAGGGTTCAAATTGGTTTTGGGAACATTTGAGATAATTTTGGAGGTTTTGGAAAAGTTTGGGCCCCCAAGGGTATTTTTGTAATTTTGGCAAACGTGGGGGGTATTTTGGTAATTTTGGAAATTTTTGGTGATTTTGAGCAATTTGTGTAGTTTGAAATATTCTGAAATGATTTTTGAACAAATTTGGGTATTTTAGGTGAAATTGGGAATTTTGGCCAAATTTAGGGTTTGAGGGTGTTTTAGTAAATTGGGTAGATTTGAGGGGCAAAAATCTAAGTTGGAAATTTTGGTGAAGGTGAAGTGTCAACCACCCAATATGAGTCATGGACCAATGGAATTGCCATTAAGGTCCTCTATGTACTGGTCTTATCTAAACCCTAGCCTAGGCTAGTGGGTCTAGGAGACCATCTACATGAGTCTCCCAAAGATCAAAGGATCAAAGTCAACAAAGTTTTGGGTTTAGGGTTGTGAGTGAAAGTAAGTGCAAGTGAGTGAACTAGCTCCAGACCAACACCCAGGGACAACCTTAAGGCTAGACAGTCCTATGGGGATTCACCTTGAGCTCCCCCATGTTGACCCCACCTACTAAGTGCTAGAGGTTAAGACCAATATGTGGAACTTCAAGTTGAGCAAAGAAGAGTTTAGAGTTTCTAATGGTGAGGGTTTCTTTTCTAGTCGTCTAGGAATAGTCAACAAGAAAGTTTTATGGCTAGACCCTAAGCTGCTAAAAGAGGAAAGACTAGACTTCAACCAAAGGTGAGGTCAACAAATGGATCCTCAATAAGTGTGGTGTGCCGGACAAGCACACTGCAAGTATTGGCGTTGACCGACGAGATCAACAAAACCAATATATATTTCTAAGTCATCAGGGTCAACAGACCTAGAACAAAGTGTAGCATTGAATGACCATTTTTTCCACTTGGGAGTAACAGACACTCTCACGGAGGAAAAGAAAGGAGACTACGGGAACAATCGTCGGGCAAACCGACAGTCCCGGTGATGATTTGATTTGATTTGAATACTTCAAAATTTATTTCAAATTTTGATTTTAATTTAAGATCTCAAGGAGATAGAATTATGCACGAGGAGACAAGATTGAGTGGAAAGTGCAAGGACTCACACCTAACTCAAGAGGAAACACAAGTGCAGAGATGGGAATAGAGCTTGAAGAGGCCTACCCCGAATGCAGAGATGGGAATAAGGATTGAAGAGGCCTACCTTGAATGTGGACATGGGTATAGGGATTGAAGAGGCCTACTCCAAATGCAAGTATGGCAATAGGGCTTGAAGAATCCTACCTTGAATGCAGAGATGAGAATAGGGCTTGAAAGGCCCACCACGAATGCAAGTATGGGAATAGGGCTTGAAGAGGCCTAACCCAAATGCAGAGATGGGAATAGAGCTTGAAGAGGCCTACGCTGATTGCAAAGATGGGAATAGGGCTTGAAGAGGCCTACCTCGAATGCAAGTATGGGAATAGGGCTTACGGATGGGAATAAGGCTTGAAGAGGCCTACTCCGAATGTAGATATGGGAATAGGGCTTGAAGAGGCCTACTCCAAATATAAGGATGGAAATAGGGCTTAAAGAGGCCTATCTTAAATGTAAATATGGGAATAGGGCTTAAAAAGGCCTATCCCGAATGCAAAGATGGGAATAGGGCTTGAAGAGGCCTACCCTGAATGCAAAGATGAGAATAGGGCGTGAAGAGGCCTACCCAAAATGCAGGGATGGGAATAGGGTGTAAAGAGGTCTATCCCAAATGCAAAGATGGGAATAGGGCACGAAGAGGCCTATCCCGAATGTAATGATGGGAAACAAAATTTAGTTACTGACTTCGAGAATAACATGAAAATCTAGTAGAGAACCTGTGGCGTTGAGCTCATAAATATGCGACATGTGAAGATTGACATTGGTGAGAAAAATTCATGAGACTTTGTATAGAGTATGAAACTCTAGGAGATGTGAAGAAGTTGGTGGAGACAAGAATAATCATGTTGCGTAAGCAAAGAGTAAGAGACCTCGAACTCGAGGGAAAAAAACTCAAGAAAATTTATTTTTCTTTTCTTATTATTTTTATCACATTTAATTATCAAAGTATTATTTTTGAAAAGATTTAATTTTCTTTGGTTGATTTATTTCTAAAAAATAATATTTTATTCAAATTTCATTATCATTAAGTTTTATTGTTTTGTTCTTTGTTCACTGTAGCTCAGAACCAACGTATGGTTCGGTGGCTCTTGATTCATCACACAAAAAGAAATTCAAGAAACATATTACATTTTAAAACAAATTTCATTGATATGCTCAAAATAGGTGTTACAGATTGAATATATGTTGAATGCATCAAAAGTACATCTGAAACATCTCGTGTTGAATATATATATATATCATATATGCTGCTCTAACACAGTACAAAAGGTGACAAAAAGAAAATTGTCTATCTTTCCTCTGTGGGATGAGCTCCTGATCAAGCTAACCTATTAAGCCACACTCCAGGATAAGAAGTCTCTTCATGTGTACTTAGAGGTGCAACCCTCTCATAGCTCGTACAGGCGGAGCCCCTCCAACTCTAGATCTGGTTGGAATCTATATGGCATTTTGTTGTTGTCCATCCTTCTGAAAGTCACAAACACTCTGCGATGTCGTACCTCTGGGATGCAGTGCTTGGCGAGGTCAGTTCCATTTCCTTTGAGAATTAGTACTGAACATACCGGTAGTGGAATCTCAACAGATCCCCTGAACTCCCCGGGGTCAATAACATCGATTTCTTTTCCAAAAAGTATGTTGCTCTTACTCATGAAGGACACCTTGCAGAAATGCCTCACGAAATCATGATGGTCTATGTGCGGGGGAATGCAATCTCTTTCATTGTAGATGTTAATGATACAACTGTTTGGAATGCAATCAGCTGACAGTATACTCCATCCAACCATTCTCTTGATCATCCACTTTATCTCAAAGGGCATGGGGATTATACTGTGGATGATCAAGAGAATTCCTGAGGGATTGCATTCCTTTTCTTAAGATGTCTGAGGGATTCCTTTATCTATTCATAGTGAAATTATAGCAGTAACCACATTGGATAGTTATCCTGTCTTTTCCTCTCATCCACTTTCGCAGCTCAGAATAAGTTCTTTCCACAAGAGGCCAGCCAGACCTCAGTCTCTTAGATCAAATATGTAGTCTAGAATTCTCCTTTCATCACTTTCAGAGAAGTCTTTTGTGTCAGCTCCAGGCCTTCCAAAATATTGATGATATTTCCTCGAATTTCTTTGTAGAATTCTAATTCTCTCCTCCTAACTTTGTTCATTCTTTTCAATTCTGTTGTAGGGATCCTTTGAGATCATCGAGGTGGCTCCCTTATCTCCTCATATGTAGGATACCATGTCTGAATTGGCTCTATAGGTAATGGAATGTAAGACTCAGTATCCAGGTAAACAGACTCCTTGCATCACATGTCGGTAGCTTTGAATTCTTCAAATGAACTGTAGTAGTCTAAGTATAGAACATTGCATTTCAGACACTCCATGAATTCACCTCCTATTGATGACTAAATAGGAACTTTGACGTTGCACATTGGATAACCCTTACAAAATCCATCTGGTACCTTAGATTGTAATTGCTATGCAGGAAATTTAGGCTCATCGTTCGTACAGGTGGATTGGCGGAAGATTCCCTCATGCAAGGATCATAGATTTTCCCCTCAGGAATCAGGGAAAGTAAATTTTCTGCCTCTTTCTGGAGTCTCCTTTCTTTGCATAGATAAGCTCTGTGTTTGTGATGATTGGCATTTTGGCACTGAGTTATTCTTAATGGTGCATCTGGTAGCCTCCCATCGTCAGTGGTGACTAAGTTCCGGGTTGGTGTGGTTATCATGGATGGAAAATGGCTTGTTCCCTCCATTAGATTCTGTTGTGTTACCATTTTCTTCCTCTTCGAAGAGGAGTCTTCTTTTGTACCAATCCTCAAAGCGACAGTAACCCTTCCTTTCTTGATGACTAACTATGTCCATCAGGGACCCTCATAGTTAACATTGACCTGACCAAAGTCCAAGTCAAAATCTATGATGCCGCCCTGATGTGCCCTTTCCTTGTTAAGCGTGAGATTCAAGCCATCCTTGAAGGTAAAAATTAGCTTCTGTCGTGAATTTTTTTCTGCATATGACAGGAAAAACATCAGTGCACTGAAATTTAGCGGGAATAAGAACAAAACAAAACATTTATTACACCAAATTTTAATTTGTAAAGGCACAATTTTTTTTATTATCTTATTTAATTGTAATGGAATTTTAAATTAAGATAAATAGAAGAAAAAAAGAATGAAGTGAGTAATTTCAAAAATTTCATTTCATTAAGATTAATCTTATTACAAAATTTTGGACTCAGTCACAGACGTTTGGCCAAATAAGTAAACCCAGAACAATTTAGATCTCAAAATCTAATTTTAAACAATGTCACGCTGCATAATATGTTTTTAAATATTGCCCATTGATCGACGACATAGGTTTTTTCCTCGAAAATCCACCAGCTTGTAGGCTTCTCCTGAATAGACCCTTTCTACGACAAATGGTCCCTCCCAAGTTTGTTCAAATTTTCCACCTAACTTGTGGAGTGATTTAGGGTTTAGGGTTTAGGGTTTAGGGTTTAGGGTTTAGGGTTTAGGGTTTAGGGTTTAGGGTTTAGGGTTTAGGGTTTAGGGTTTAGGGTTTCAAAGCTTCTAACAGTCTGTTATGTCAATATCTTTTGTTTTCTTCTAGTGTCTTCTTCAAGATCTATATGAGTGTTTTGTTGAAGGGCTTAACCAGGCCATTTGCCCTGAGATAGTAGATCATAGAGTATCTCCAGTTTATCCCATGCCGCTTGACAAAGTTGTTGATTTTGTTGCTTTTGAAGGCTGTCCCAATGTCAGAAATTACTCTGTACGGTACACCAAAATGGTAGATGATTTGGCTTTTGAAAAATTGAAGGACATGTTGTACTTTAACCTCTCGTAACGGCACTGCCTCTGCTCACTTAGAGAAGCAATCCGTAGCGGCAAGAATAATTTCGTGTCCCTTAGATTATGGAGGGTATATTGGTCCTATTATGTCTGTGCCCCAACACTTGAATGACCACGAGGCAACAGTTGGGTGTAGAACATCCAGAGGTTGGTGTAAGCCCACCCCATTCACTGAGCACTAGTGACACTTTCTGGTTGTATCCATGCAATCAGACAACATTGCTGGCCAATAATATCCGATCCTCTTGATCTTCATTTTTATTTTTTATCCTGATTGTTGAGCACCACACAATTAGGCATGTACTTCCTTGATAATATTTGTGCCTCTGCTTTGTTTAGACATCGCAACCACATCTGATCGAATGATATTCTGTAGAGGACATCACCCACTATAGTGTATTACATAGCTCTTCTTGTGATGTGATATAACTTAAATTTTAACTTAAATTGCCGATCGAATGTTTTTAACTTAAATTTCTGAAAGATGGTATAAATGATGCCATGAAATCTAATCCCCAAACATCAAATATTTCAACTTCTAGCATATAATTGAGGGGCATCTCATTTCTTCTAAAAATATTGCCTACTCTTTGACATCTATCACAAGTTTTGATATAAGCATTAACATCTCTAAAAATTGTAGGCCAATAAAATGCAGATTGTAAAATTTTGAATATATGTTGTTTTATCAACACCAAAATGTCCCCCAAAATCAGAATTATGACATTTTTGGATAATATCAAAACTTTCTTCTAATGGTACGCATCTTCGAATAATAAGATCCTTTCCTTGTTTATATAAAAATGGGTCATCCCAAAAATAAGTCTTA